TTTCTCCCCATTTTTTCACCATTTTTTTCCATTTTTTCACCATTTTTCCCCATTTTTTCACCGTTTTTTCACCGTTTCTCCCCATTTTCCCTTTCAGGGTGACCCAGTGCAAGTACAAACAGAATTTATATCCTGAGATCCCATTTTGTCACCGTTTTTCCCCATTTTTTAACCTTTTTTTCCCATTTTTTCCCCTATTTTCCCCATTTTTTCACCGTTTTTCACCATTTTTTCACCATTTTTTCCCGTTTTTTCACCATTTCTCCCCTCAGGGTGAACCAGTGCAAGCACAAACAGAATTTATATCCTCATTTTATATCCCCCCATTTTTTCCCTATTTCTCTCATTTTTTCCCCTATTTTCCCCATTTTTTCCTCATTTTTTCACCCTTTTTTTCCATTTTTTCACCGTTTTCCCCCATTTTTTCTCCATTTTTTCCCGTTTTTTCACCATTTCTCCCCGTTTTCCCCCTCAGGGTGACCCAGTGCAAATACAAACACAATTTATATCCTCAAACCCCATTTTCCCTTTTTTTCTACCTATTTCCCCCGTTTTCCCACCATTTTTCCCCATTTTTTCCCCTATTTTCCTCATTTTTTCACCGTTTTTTGCCATTTTTTCACCGTTTTTTCCCATTTTTTCACCATTTTTCCCCCTCAGGGTGACCCAGTGCAAGTACAAACAGAATTTATATCCTGAGATCCCGTTTTGTCACCGTTTTTCCCCATTTTTTAACCTTTTTTTCCCCATTTTTCCCCCTATTTTCCTCATTTTTTCACCGTTTTTTTCCATTTTTTCACCGTTTTTTCCCGTTTTTTCACCGTTTCTCCCCATTTTCCCCCCTCAGGGTGACCCAGTGCAAGTACAAGCGCATCGGCTGCCCCTGGCAGGGTCCTTTCCACGAGCTGTCGGTGCACGAGGCCGAGTGCACGCACCCGACCAAGACGGGCAACGAGCTGATGGACATCCTGGACGAGATGGACCAAACGCGCAAAAAAGAGATGCAGCTCTACAACAGCATCTTCAGCCTGCTCAGCTTCGAGAAAATCGGATATACAGGTAGGGGGAGACACCCAAAATTTACAGAATTTAACCCAAAAAAATCCCGGAAAAAATCCCTGAAAAAATCCCCCCAAAAATCGCGAAAATATTCCCAAAAAATCCCGAGAATTCCCCATAATGCAGCTCTACAACAGCATCTTCAGCCTGCTCAGCTTCGAGAAAATCGGATATACAGGTAGGGAGAAATGGTAAAATTAGTGAAATTTAACCCAAAAAAATCCC